AGATCATGGTGAGTGAGGTTCATGACACAGCTCTGAGGTAGCTGACAAGGACGTCTCTCACCACATTCCTCATATATACGCAGCATCTGTCAACTGGTATTTGTGACCTGAAAGTCCTGTTATGTCTTTGTCAGTGTCTTTTTGCCATGAACTAGCCCACCAGTGCTAGAGTAAAATATATATACTCACACCTGTGTATGCGTTGGAGGGAGAGTGAGGAATCTGTGTCTGATCAGTTTGTTACCTGGGTATTTTAGTGATAGACCAGATGATATTTATGGCATCTCTCTTCTTCCTTTCTCTTACATTGTACATTTCTGTGGTTTCTGCTTCTAAGCCAAATTTCAACTTCACTTGAGTACTGCAGATAGGTAAAGTAAAAGGATCACTTCAATCCTTAGGTGACCCTCTTCTATTGAACCCTGCTGGAAAGCTGCAGGAACAAATTGTCTTGATATATTCTTTAAATTTTGAACTCTGTTTGAGTTGTGCTTGCACTGTGCATATTGAACCATGGCTTCACAGCGAGAATTTCTGTCTGGGATCATTACTTGTTATTTGAACAAAGAACTGAAAACCCTAAAAGGAGCTGAAAATCTACCATTACACAATTCTTACCTCGTTTTCCCATGATGATTTCTAAGGCAAGAGATTATCAAAACAGTGATATTAGATTAAACAGATAAAAGCTCCAATCTTCCCAATCAAGCACACCACTGACCCTGTCTCTAATCAAAATAAATACACAAGAAATGAGAACATGCTTGTAAATAAATGGAGTGTGTCACACAGTGTAAACTGCCCAACTAGTGGCACAAGAAATTTCTTCACTTCCTAATAGGATCTTATTGTGCTGGTTGAAAATTTCAGATTGTTTCTGAAGTTTAGCAAATCTAGCTGTGCAACTACACACCAGTAAAGTACTCAGTCCCACACTGTAACTCAAACGTGTAGTTCATGGGAAAGGAGAAGAGGCAGCTCTTTCTCATAAAAATAAGTGTTTCTAAAGAGGAATAGAAACAATACAATTTTTGTAGGGAGGAATTCCTGGATAAGTGAGCAACTGTTGTAAGCAAGCTTTCCTCAGAAGGGAAAGATATTGAGCCCATCGTATTTTATCTTTAAACAAAGTTGGTGGTTTCACCTTCGTTTTTTCTGTGTCTAGAGTAGAACCAATTATTTGAGAAGCAGGAAAAGGAGCTGGCTTCCATTGATACAACAGGAGCAAATTCATCACCATCTAGTACCTCTTGAGGTGTTGTAGTCACTCCAAGTGACCGCCATCTGCCCCTCCAAAAGGGAATGGGTCTGCCCATGACAGTTCAATGTTACATCTGCCAGCCCAGTGTAGCATCTCAGATGTCCTAGCATGTTTATTATAACACTTGGCCCTTGTAGGTACCCAAATTCTGGCTCACAGAAAATTCTAAAGATTATTTGATTCAGTGGTTTTCAGACTTAAAAACAAAGAAGATTGACCAGAGTATCGTCAGTAGTAGTATCCAGAGTTGAATGTCCTTTTCATCAGTACAGTTACTCCAGTACTATATGAATTCAGTAACTGCCCAGGACCTTGAAATACAGAAGGAAGTTACATGTATTAGTGAACATGGGTAATTATGATTGTCTTTAATTACATTCAGTTATTACAAAATCTACTAGTCTTTAGTGTTCATTCCAGTGTCTTTTAGTTATATAAGCCCTTCTCCCAATTTTGCCCCTTCTGATGTACTTGTTTCATTCTCTTCAAAAGCTTTTTCTGTTTGGAATACTGAATTGTCACAGCTAACTCCTTTTTCCCGTTAAAGTGAATTTTCCCTTTTCAAATCTTCCTTTTTGGTATCCTCAAGCTCCTGTCTACTTATCCCTATTCTCTTTCTTTGTTTTGTTTTAGTTTTTCTGTGGGTTTTTTGTTTGTTTGTTTGTTTTGTTTTGTTTTCTGTCTGCTTTGGTTCTGGTTGGTTGGTTGTCTTTTAGTATTATAAGCATTACAGAAATGAAAAAGAACATTTTTTCATTAATTTTCTATTACTCCTTAGCTGTTATAGCACTACAATATTAGCCATTCTCTCAACTGCTATTCCAAAATTACTCATCCGCTTGTGTCTCTTGAAATTGCTACAAGGTCCTTCTGATATATTCCCTTTCATCAAAGCCCCTGTATATAAACTATCTTCTATGCCCCAGTTCCAATTCAGTATTTTTTACTTTTTTGAGATCCACTCTTTTTTGAGATCTTTCATGTTTTTCAGGATCCTCTTTGTAACTTTGTTTCTTCTCTTCTTTGTTCCTCCAGTTTTTGTGGCTGCTGTTGCTGCCTCACACAGAATCTCCTGTCCGTATTTTTTCTTCCTGCTGGTGGTCGGTTTTCTCCATCCAAACCCTGTTATCTGCTTCCCCTTCTCTGATGCTGTATTCTAAGAATAAAGTGACGTTTATATCTGGATTCTAGATCTGATTTCAGATTTAGATTCTGTGATGGCATTATTTGGAACTGTAACATTGTGAGTAGACCCTTTCTGGTTCTGTCTAATTGGTGACTTGAGTAACAAACCATAACAATCCTGTAAAGGCCACAAAACAAAAACTGTTTGGCAACGCTCTTGTGAAAGTTCCAGATCAAAGACCTGTTGTACCCTAGCACAGTGGGAAAGTAGAAGTTAGTTGTCTTGCTTAAGGTTCAACCCCAACCACAACCATTATGCAAAAGGAGAAGCATGGCCATTATGGCATTTGCACAGCACTTTCTTCTCATGGGCTTTTTATCAGCAGAGGAGCACCTGACTAAGTGATCAGTGGGTAATGTGTGGCTGCCACTTCCGTTTAAATAGCCTTGTAGATGCAGGCCTGCAAGACTGACTGATTTTATTGTATTCTGTTTCTGCATGTAGATAATGAGGTCCTTAGGGAAGAACATGTTACCGTTATGTTCCCAAAAGAGGAATCATTCCATTCGAATCATAAAATATCCTGAGCTGGAAGGAACTCCAACTCCACACAGGATCACACAAAATTCAATCCTTATGTCTGAGAGCGTTGTCCAAAATGCTCCTTGTACTCTGGCAGCTTGAAGCCGTGCCCAGTGCCCTGGCATCCTGTTCCAGAGCATGACCACCCTGTGGTGCAGACCCTGTCCCTAACCCCCAGCTGCCCTCCCCTGACACAGCTCCATGCCGTTCCCTCGGGCCCCGTCGCTGTCACGCAGACAGAGCTCAGCGCTGCCCCTCTGCTCCCTGGAGGAACTGCAGCCGCCATCAGGCCTCCACTCAGCCTACTTTGCTTTACGCTGGACAAGCCCAGCAATACCATCTGTGCCTCATACATCTTTACCCTTTAGACTGTTCCCTGTTTCCGTAATCCTCCTTTGGATACTTTATATTAGTTTTATTTATTTATTTTGTTGCTTGTTAGCTTTCCTATCACTGCAAAGGAGAGAAATAATGTATCTGAAGCTGGGCAGTGTTAAGCAACTGCTGCTGTTCCTTTTCACAGCTGGAATTCTGGGCCACCCACCTCGCACTGCTCCAGGAAAATTTTACATTCGTGAGATATATAGAAAACTATAACACACATTCATATTACTGACCACCAGCCCTTATCATACCTGATCCATTGTCACACTTCACTTGCACAAAAGGAAGAAAACTGGAATTCTGCCAATAGCATGTTGTAACTCTGACATCTAACTGCTGAGTACTTTTACTCACAAGTTTCTTGGAATTTTTGTTAAATGGAGGAGGATCTGTAAAAGAAGAAGAGAGAAAATAGCCAACTATCGCTTATGGTACCATTGTGAAGGATCTTGAGCAAGGTGGATCCCCGAACTGTACAATAAAAGTGCAATGCCACTAGCACTGATAGCGTAAGCAACTGTCATGGTGCTGTGGGATCATTGCCGTGAAGCAAGGACATCACCAGTACTGCGTCGTGATAGAGAAATGGTGACACATTATGAGAACTTCAGAGTTGTCCTCAGGTTACAAAACTGGGAAGTGTACATGCAAACAGTGATCTCTGAAATCAAGAAGACCCCACCCAGTTCCAGCTCTTGTGGACTTGGACTGTTTTGACTTCAAAATCAGACTGTATTGCAGCAGTCCCTGATCCTTTTCCTCAGCTTTGAAGACTGTCTCTCCTGTTTTCTCTGTTCCGTCCCCTTTCCCTGGTAACTTAAACCCACTCTATCTGCAAGGCCAGTGCTTGTTTTCTTTCCAGTCTCACATTCTGAATCACAGCTACTCCTGTATCTTTAGGTCCTCACTCAGTTTCCGTCACTAATACTGCTCAGCCTGGCTTTTATCTCTTGCTTCTCTATGTCCGTTTGCTCTCCACCCTTTCCCAGTCCTTGCCTTCCAGTGAGGAAAGCATTAAGTGCCTGTGAGAGCATCTCCCATAGAGCTGGGCAGTATTTCCTCCATCAGGGAGCAGCAGTTCTTCACACGGCTGTATCCTGCCCTCATTGAACTGACAGCAGCTTCCTAAGGCTACCAAAAGGCACTGTCTGACCATCGTCTCCTTCCTACCATGTTTTCTAAATCATGACATAGACATAGCAGAACTTCTTGATAAAATTGTTACGCTTTAAAAATGAGAAGGAGGCAGCAGAAAGAACACCTCTTGAAAAATCTAATTCTCAAATATTGCTGACCAACTTTCAATGAAACTTGGAAAATCCATTAAACCGTAAGAACAGCAACAACAACCAACAGCTGTGCTTAAGGGTGAGGTTCAGCAAGGCTTTGAGGATCTTCAGATATAAAAGTTAACTTTAAAATGTGACTGTGCTTAGGTGTCTGCTAAACTACTGCATAGCTTAGAAACGTGATACACAAACCAAATGTTAGCTCTGTCGTACAATGTGCCAGAAGAGTCTTTTCTTCTGACATGGACTGTTAACAGTGCAGAAGAATCATTTCCCATTTCCCGCCCTCACTGTGCTCATTAGCATTCAGCTGATTACTAACTGCACTACAGACAGACCGATTACAGCAACATGAAGCCATGACCGTACTTCACACCTCCAGTTTCACTTCTCAACAGCTGCTTTTAGAATAAGTCTTCTTTTAATGCTAGTCTTCTGGCTTTTTCTAGAATTGGTCTGAAAGACAAGAGATCTTGTTTCTATTTGTCCATGGAGTTCCCATTTTTTCATGGAAAGATATCAAGAAAAGCATGTGAAGAACTGCTGTGCAAGAAAGGACAGAATGGTAGTTATTTAATACGAGAGAGTGAAAGTGTGGCTGGAGCCTTGTGTCTGTGTGTTTTGTAAGTATTTTGATACTAAATTTCTTATGAGTTTTCAAATAGATTCAAAACTAAGAATTCTCCTTTTCTAACATTAATAGTTCTTCCTTGTTAACAATATGTCCGTAGATGTATTCAAGCGATGTTGGTTGCCTTAGGTTTTCTTTACAGTGGGTGGTGAATGGGTGGCATTTGTGAAAACAATTCATACAACAGCGAATGGATGAACTGCTGTTGTCTGCTGATGCTTTTGTCTCTCTGCAGACAATGGAGAGAGCCCAGAGAAAATACCTTAGCCTGCTAAAACACGGTGAGAAGAACCTCACTCAAAGTTGCTACCTCTGTTATAAAAGGAGTAAATACCATTGTAGCACTACTGAGACACAGAAAAGTCTCACAGTAGGATATAAAATATTTTCTTCTTCATATGCATGCTGATTATGTGATGAAACATTAGCCTTGTGTTTCTCACAAAGTTTATCTGATGTAAGAAAATAAGCTGAGACAGAAAGATGTCATGTCCTACTCACATTCATGACAAGCCCATGAACAAGGTAGGAACAGAAAACTGCTTAGCTTAAAACAACTAAAATTGGATTATTTTCTTTTCCTGTTGGGAACAGTATTTTTTTCCTGTTCATAAAGACTGTTTTACGTTTTTCATAAGTAATCAATCTCTTGTTAATATGTTCAGAGTTTATGAACTAGTCACTGGTCCTTTTTGCGTGAACCTGTAAAATTTTACACTTTCCTTGATGGTGTGTTTGAGAGTGACATGAAAAAAAAAAATAGCACAACATTTAATTAGCTTAGAAATGTCAGGAAATATTTTTTATCAATAATCAAAATCTCACTGGTTTTGAAACAAATCAAAGGAGAAGGGAGAAAAAGGGAGGAGGAAATGGAGTACTGCTGGGTTGGTGAGTAGAAGAAAAGATCATCTGGGAATAACAAAGACGAGTAAGGAGAAATGGCAGATGAGATACGAATCAGTTACGAGTCTACAAGATCTCCCTTGTCCTCACACCAGTTAGTTTGTTAATTTGAATCATAATATGCAGCTGTTTATAAGTATTTAATAGTTTATTTGGAATCAGAAGTTTTCATTGTAATGGCAGATTCATGTTCATTTTATGTTAAAATAACTGTAGCAGCCAAGTAATATACAGACAATGACTTCTCAAATTTTGATTGACTCAGAGTAAGTTTAGAAACAACCATTTAGATTATTGTTTTCCACTTTGATGTCTTATTTTTACTTGCATATTATGTTTAAAGAATGAAGGCTGACTTTTATAAATGCTCATAAGCCAGATACTTGTGAATGTTTTCAGGTACCTCATGGAGGAAAAAAAAAAGAAAAAAAAAAAAAAAAAAGAGGTAGTCAAAGTTAATCTTTTCTGAGTGGAAGTTAGCCCAGTCCATAGTAAATTCTTCAGAGAGCAGAGCAGGTTCTTTGCAGAACAAACATCCATTTACATGCAAGTCCCCATAACTAGGTTTTTGCCCTAAGATTCTCCCTCTCATCTCAGCTCAATTCATTTAGCTATAGCTGAAATCTTTCCAATGAACATGCGTACTAACTAAAATTACCTGTTTTCAGATATTGTTTTTTTTGTTGCTGTTTTATTGTGGTTTATATCTCTCTGCAGCTTTACTGCCTTTTTTGGTGATTATCATGATCTCCAGTTCATCTTCTAAGCAGCTGTCATTGCTATATTTGATAAAAAGTTTTCATTTCTGTTGATAAAACGTGTCCAAAGCCATCAGTATCCTTAATGTTCTAACACTTGAACATTATTAAAATAATAATAATCAAAATTCTAGGAAATGCTAAAGAAGAATGATTTCCTGAAAGTAGAGCCCATGTTGTCATTTTGTGTGCTGGTGGGTGGAGGACATTTTCTATTGACATTTCTCCAAGAATTCAATATTCTTCTTGTAATACAAATGCAAGATACAGTTCAGAGAGGTATCACATTGGAAGGCAAGAAAAACAGATGAGAAATGGGAAGTACATGGAATCAAATTATTTATATAAAGGCCTGAGCTGGGTTTACTTTGTAAGTTATCTGCAAATTTTAGAGTAAACATATTCCAAAACATGAAAACTTTCCTCAATATTTGAACTCTAGAATCCCATTTGTTTTGCTTTTCTATTTCAGTCTTATACATATTAATTCACAATCACGTGTTGATAATGCTATTGCAGATATTTCCAGTCCCAGCGTCTGTTTCCATTCCTTCCTCCAATGTTTTTTCTTTTAGCATTGTGGGTCAGAGACTTAGCCTACTAGTTTGTCCCTAATATCATATCTTCTCTTCTGGATATGCTCATTGTTAAGTGGCCAGTATCATATCTAGTCAAATCAAATATGAGTTTGAAATAGTGATTGCATCTGGAAGCATACAGATGGAAGCATAGATGGCTCAGTGGGAGGATTACCTGTGGGCTCACCCAGGGAAAGCTGGTTACAGAAAAAGCATTCTACAACTTCTCACTCCTGTGTATGCCACAGCAAATAAATCACCTGTTCTCTACAGAAGAATGCCAGTAGATCTCATATGAAAAGTGAACTGCAGGTTTTCTTACAGAATCATTCCTTACTGCTACTTTGACTAATGTGGTTTTCACTCTCTCTCCTCTCCCATCCTTCCCAACTTCTGTAGTACAGTAGAAGACATTCCCAAAGACAGCCTTTCAGAATGTCACTTCACGCCACTGTTCTTGTTTCCATATAACATGGTAATCTTGTGTCATATCCCAGGTAATTCTCTCCTGTTTTAAGGTGCAGATCAGTCTTCTGAAAGGTGACGTTTCCTATGGAGTTGATAGTTTGAAGCCCGTTCTTTTTCCCCTAGGGTATGAATTCAGGGAAAGAAGGATACTCCACTTTCCCCTGTAGCAATTTCGGTCTTCACAGTAGCTCCATTTTTTTTAGAAGGGGTACATGTTAACAACGTCATTCCAGCCTAAAAAGGCTGTATGATAGTAGGTCTAACCTTGCTGGAATCTGAGAGACATCCAAGCTACAGCTCCCCTTTGTCTTGCTGCTGATGGAGACACTGCGGTTATCAATGATGCATGAGTCTGCCCTTTGCCTGCGTTTTATTCCATGTGACATTTGCACAAAATGGTTTCTAACACAGTAAAGCAATTCTGCTGATGGTGAGCAAGAAATTAGGCATCCTATAGAAGCAAAGACTCTTCTTTTACATGCATAGCAGCTTTCAGTGGGTTTCTAGGCTTTGTTTTGCGCTTTACTGTCTATGAACAAGTAACAGGGACTTCCAGCTGTTTCTGGACGTAACCATAAGCATTTTCATTACTTTGAATTACCAGATTTGTTTTATTGAAGCTGTAGTCATATGAAACTTAACTCAACATAAAAAATGGACCTAAGAAGCAGGAGAAGAGCTCAGGCAGTTAGCTGATGTGAACATGATTGCTCAAGATCTCTCCCAAGCAAAAAAAAAAAACAACAAGCAAGCAAACAAAACCAATACCTGAGTGACATATTCAGCTGTAGTAGTCTAAGCCCTTTCCTGTGGTCTGACAGTTGACACAAACTTAATGTATACAACAATGTTTTTCACAGCTTCGAAAAAGTCATCTACACTTATCGGATCTTCAGGGAATATGAAGGAAATTATAAAATACAGGTAAGCGAATCTCATTTCATCTGTAAAGACCTCATTATTTTAAATTTTAATGAATTTTTAAAAATAATATACTTGAAAATATTACCTTATAAAACAGGAAGCCTCCGAAAGTAATGCCTCCTATTTTATTATGATGGCCAGCAATGTCAGAGGTGGATGTTGGTGGTATGGTAGTAGAAGTTAAACCTTCCCACCAATATTCCATTACATTTTGTTGCTGTTAAGTGAAAGCTGGTGCACATTTGAGCCCCCAGATGCATTAGCTGCTTCTGCAGGTGTCCTTTCTCATTCATGCTAATATAGCATAAAACACTTGGCTTCTGCTTGTTGTATAGTTGTCCAAATCCAACATTTTAAATTGGAATTAAATATGTTCTCCATAAGTTTGTTTTCTAAGGCCAGAGGGAAGTCTGTAATGCTTTCACTCTACTGAACAATGCTGTAGGGGATTGAGCCAAGCTTAAACTTTGTATTTTATCATATTTAGTAATAAAGAAATAGCTACAGGAGTCATAATATCTACTAGACTATCTAGAAGCAGTAGTGGTGAATGGTTTTAGATCTTCAACCAAAAAATTGTTATCAGTTTTAGTTTTGATTCCATAGCAATAATTTCTAGAGCTTAAATCCCCAAAATACATACAGAAAATAGTTTGCTTATCCTCATCACCATTTTAACACTGAGTATGAAACTTCTTCAGTAGTCTTGGTAGGGATCTATGTTTAAGTGGTTTTCCGGGACAGCAATATCATAAAACTTCTTTGGTGACATAGACCAAGTCTTGAAGGACACATGCAGGGAGCAAGACACTTGCCTGGGGACTGTGATCTCCGCGGCTTCCCAGGAGGCAGCAACTGGTTCTGCTCTTTTTCAAGGAAAGAGTAAAACACATGGCTTGTGATGAAGAGTTAAATTTCATAGCACTTGGACTGTAGTTGACTGAAATCCCTTTTTTTTTTTTTTTTTCTGAACAGCTAAATATGATGTGAAACAATGTGAATTTTGTTTTAAGCCCCTTCAGGAATTCCCAAAGGGAAGAACTGAGACACAGTCAGACCTGCAGGGCCATGAGAGGGATGGCTACAGACATCAGCCATTGGAATGAAGGAGATAAAATTTGTCCTCGCTAGGATGGGAATCCTGTGATCTGAAGCCAGGCAGGGAGCACTGAATAGCTTTCCCTTGGCTGCAGCACACACAAGCAGGGCTGGTGAAGGAGGTTATGCCTGGTACCATAACCACTCCACCACACAGGTGTCCCTCTTGTGTTTAGAACAGTATTCTGTCACCATACAGGTTTACAAAATGTCCTTTGGTGAACTAGTTATGCACAGTTCTTTTCATTACAGATTACAAATACAGCTTCAAACAAACTTAGTTTTTCTTTCCTTACAGACTTCTGAAGGCGTTCCAGAAAAGGTCTTCAGAACGCTGAAGGATTTAATATATAACTATGAAAAGCCAAACCAAGGGCTAGTCACAAAGCTTCGCTACCCAGTCAAGAAAACAAGCTCCTCACGAAGAAGCCAGAAGCTCAAGTTAGGAAATGATGACATTTATGATGGTGAGAATTCTAGTTTAGTCTGTCGTTTCATTAAGACAACAATTGCATTGACAGGTGAATAATTGCTATGTGTCCTCTGAGACAAGCTTGCATGGACAGAAATTCAAGATTCTTCCTTCTTTTTTACGTTCAGTGGAAACTGCTTAGTTCTAGGTCACAGGTTACATACACTCATCCACCATAAATTAACAGAATAAAACTAAAAAAGGTACAGATGGCAAAGCATGGTATTGCCCAAAACTCACTCCATGAGTATCAGTGATCAGACTACAGAAAGCTATGAAACAATTTTACACAATGTGTTTCTGGCAAGCTGACAGGCCCTTATATCTCAGTGAGAGTTGAGGCTGTCCTTTGTTGTCCAGATCAAAATCTACTTTTATACCAAAATCTAGCTTGTAGATTGTGATTTGTGTTAGAACATGACCTTTTTTAGTTATCATGTTGAAAATAAGAATTATACAGATTTGTGCTCAGGATCACAGATCTGGAATCAGATAGTTTAGTCGCTGGGGTTCACTACTGGTACTGGTTTTTAGCCAGCTTTTAACATAGTGTTCTAGACCAAGAACCACTTTTCTGGGGATGGCTACAAGTGTTCTGTTTCTGCCTTTTCCCTGGATTCTACAAAAATAACAACAATAATAAAAACTGTAACAAGGTCTAAGATGTTTTTTCAAGGTCTCCTCCCAGCTAAGGACTTTTCTGTTGGGAATATTCATCTACAGAACAAAAGCTGTCATACACTACAGTCATAGCTACCTGTGCTATTGATCTGAATTACTGACTATATATGACTTAGGACATTTAACTTTCTCAGGAAGACAGGGTCTCATGTGGATACAACCATTTAATTACAGAGCTTGCTGATTTAGAAAGGGCAATACCGGCTTTGCTTCCACATGTGGAGTGGCCTGGAAGACCCAGTCCATAGGAAACTTAAGTCTAAACACTAGTTCTGAAATAGCAGACAGAATACTGAGAAATCAAACTGAATTAACAGTATCTACATAGCAACATGACAACATGCCATCTTGCTTAGAGAAGTCTTTCAGAAAAGCAATTAGCAATGACAAGATCTGTTTTTTTCTTTATTTCTTTACAGAAATTGATGAAAGTGATTATGTTGATGTCTTACCTTGAATGATCTGCAACCTGATGAATTGGAAAGACTCCATCTTAGGCTGTGCCACAGCACATCAACTGGAGAGAGTTAACAGTTGGACATTCAAAGCTATGTATCTGTACCTCTGGAATTAGTGCTTTTTGTAGATTAACAGAGCAACTGCATTTTGCCCCAGTAGATCCAGCTCAAAGTACTATGTATTTTTTGTGCATCATTAAAAGAATTAGTTTTCCTGACATGTGGATAATTATATGGGGGAAAGGGTGTGCGTACTTATTTGCTTGTGTATTTGTTGTTGTTTTTTTTTTAGCAAACTTTCCAAGATGCCTATTGCTGAAACATACAATCTGTTGTTTTATAAATCATATATGTAAAGACAACTGTGAAGTAGATGGGGCGAGGCTCTCTTCAGTGGTGTCTAGCAACAGGACAAGGGACAATGGGCAGAAACTGGAACATGGAAAGTTCCATATGAACATGAGGGAGATCTTTTATACTTTGAGGGTGACAGAGAACTGGCACACGCCGCCCAGAGAGGCAGGTTTCTTCTCAGGAGATATTCAAGACTTGTCCGGATGCTTTCTTGTGCAACCAGCTGTAGAGAAGTGCTTTAGCTGGGGTTTGGACTCATGGGTGTCCAACCTTTTGGAGTGCCTGGGCCACAGTGAGTGAAGAGGAATTGTCTTGGGAAGCATGTAAAATATATAATATAGTTAATTTATATAAGTAGCATTTTTTTTTAATAATTAAAATATAAGAAAAAGAGGACAACAAAATAAATTCAGTAGGTCAGACATACACAGACCAGATAATCTCAGACATCCCTTCCAATCTCTGTGATTCTGTGATTTTGTGAATGTTAGAAAGCATTGTGAATATAATAAATGAACGTTCATAAAGCAGTAGCTTATGGCAAAACTGACACGTTGATAAAAAATATACGCAATAAAAATTCCATTGACATCATTTGATGCTTTAAACTTCTAAATTCTGTTATTTTGTTTGTGATGTTACTTCTTAGTGGGGATATATGGGTAGTATTTCAGCTACGTCAATTTGTATGAGTATTTGTATTAGTAATATCAGTTAGATTTCTCATTAATACCACATAGACTTATTTCTTATTATGTATCTTTACTGTTTATTGAAGGACTTTCCTTAGCAGGGTCTGTTGTGTCAGGACAAGGGGAAATGGTTTCAAACTAAAAGCGGGGACATTTAGACTGGACATAAGAAGATTTTTACAATGAAGGTGATGAGGTTGCCCAAAGAGGTGGTGGATGCCCCATCCCTGGAGACAATCAAGGTGAGGCTGGACAGGGCTTTGAGCAACCTGACCTAGCTGTAGGCGTCCCTGTACATTGCAGAGCCTGAAACTGGGCTATCATTTGTGTCAGACTGCGGTATCACACAGCAGCTCTGTGTTTAACTGCATGCAACACTACAACTTTTACTCAGGCAAACGAACGTCCATCCCGACAGAACTGCCTCACGACACACCACGACAGACCACACCACGGCACCGCCCCTGCCACTCCCATTCCGTGCCTCCGGCAGGAAGATGGCGGCGCTGCCTCCCGCCGTGCCCCGCGGGTAGGCGGGCACTCCCGTTCAGTGGGCGCTGCCTTCAAAATGGCGGCGGCGGCGGGAAGTACGAATGGGCTATGCTGCTCGCGCCTCTGAGGGAACGTTTCAGGGCGTCATGGATGCTTCAGGTTGTATGAAGTCCCTGCTCCTAGCAGCCACGCAGTACCGGGCTGCTAAGACGGCGTCCAACGCTGCTCTGGTCCAGCGCAGCCTGGAGGTGAGAGCGGAGCGCCTTGGTCCGAGCGAGGGGTTGGCCGCGGCGTTCGTTCTCTCGGGCGTAGATGCGTGAGCGGCTCTTCTCGGCACTGTTCTGTGGCCGGCCGCGGCTGGCTCCACTTCTTGGCGGTCGGCCTGGGCTCCGAACTGCCGTGGGCTCGGCCGACTCAGCCTCGAGGCGGCCGCGGCCTCCCTCTCGGCTCAGCGGGTGGAGACTGAGAAACCCCCTGTCGGGGTTGTCTCCTGCGGGGCGGGGGAGGGAGAAACAGCTTATTTCTGTCCCTCGTACTATTACTTTGTCCTTTATCGTAGCGTTTTATGCTGTTTTTGTATATACATGCACACAGATGTACTGGATGTTTACATATGTGTGTGCTATTCACAGAAGTCAGGCATGCTTCTACTCTCTGGCCCATGAAGATCATTTTGATTTCCCAGCTTAAAAATACAGTTCGAGCGATGAACTTTACACCTGCCTTTAGCTGGTTTCAAGTGATGTGTATTCACGGATGCCAGCTGCTGTAGCCACCCATACCTTTCGCTGTCCTGATGCAGCCCTTACAGCTGGCATTGTACTGTGGTGAGTGACTGGGACAGTGACTGAGCTGCTTCATCTGCATTACCTTTCTCAAATACAGATTTTCTTAAAAATCATAGTTACTAAAACATCAATATAGAAGATGTTATTTGGCTTAACCCTTCAAGAACTGTGTAGATGTGGCACTGAGGAACATGATTAGTGTGTGTGTGGTGGCAATGGATTGATTGCTGGACTAGATAGAATTGCTCAGGTTGGAAGGGACCTTCAAGATTATTACGTCTACCCGCAACCTAACCATACTATCTTTACTCTAACAACCCTCTGCTAAATCATGTTCCTGAGCACCACATCCAAATGGTTTTTAAACACATTCAGAGGTGGTGACTCAACCACCTCCCTGGGGAGCCTACTCCAGTGCTTAACAACCTTTTCTGTAAGGAAGTTTTTCCTCATATCCAACCTAAACTTACTCTGGCACATCATGAGGCCTTTTCCCCTCATCCTGTCACCAGCGAGAAGAGACCAACTCTGTTCCCGCTGCAATCACCTTTCAAGTATTTGAAGAGAACAATAAGGTCTCCCCTCAGCTTTTTCTTTCCCAGTTCCTTCAGTCTCTCCTCATAGGGGATATTCTCCAAGCCCTTCACAAGCATTGTTGCCCTTCTTTGAACCTGCTCCAACACCTCTTTCTTTATTAAAGTGCCCAAAACTGAACACAGTACTCAAGGTGGGGCCTACTAAAGCTAAGTACAGGGGCAGGATTACTTCCCTAGCTCTGCTCATCACACCATTTCTGGCACAAGCCTTTGACCTTCTTGGCTACCAGGGCACACTGCTAGCTCGTATTCAGCTGACTGTTCATTGGTACACCAAGGTCCCTTTCAGTCAGGCAGCTTTCTAGCCACTCCTCCCCAAGCCTGTAGAATTGCCTGGGGTCATTGTGACCAAAATGCAGCACTTGGCCCTATTGAAACTCTTATTGTTTACCTTGGCCCATTGATCCAGTTATCGATCCCATTGATACAGATCCCTCTGTAGTGCCTTCCTCCCCTCTGGCAGATAAATGCTCCCTCCCAACTTGGTGTCATCTGCAAACTTACTGAGGGTGCATCTCAATTCCCTCATCAAGATCATCAATAAAGGTGTTGAACAGAAGCAGCCCCACTGCTGAGTCCTGATTGACACTGCTCGTTACCGGCCACCAACTGGATTTAACTTCATTGACCATAACTCTGGGCTCAGTCATCCAGCTGGTATTTCACCAAGCAGAGCATATGCCCATCCAAACAATGGGCAGCCAGCTTCTCCATGAGGATGTTGTGGGGGACAGTGTCAAAGGCTTTACTGAAGTCCAGGTAGACCACATCAACAGCCATACCTTTGTCCACTAAGCGGGTCACCTTGTCGTAGAACAAAATTAGGTTTGTCAGACAGGATATACCATTCATAATCTTTTCCAACTTCAATGATTCTGTAGTTAACTTCCTTCTCTGATCTATTGTAGAAAAGTACACAGAGGATATGAAAAAAAAAAAAAAAAGTTACATTGTTCTATCATGTATATATAACACAAGTCCAATTATATGCAGGTCTATTACTTTTAATATCCCTTGAAATGGGCTTATCTTTGACTCAGGATTCCATTTTTCATTGTAAGCATAGAGTTCTCACAAAACAGCACCAATCTATTATGACTTATCTTCAAGCGGAATAAAACCTTTGTATTTCAGTCCAGTTCTTCAGAAAAGAGGTTATTGAGTTGAAGTACCAGAGATGCATACAGAGGAATGAGACCTAGCAGTTAAGTAAGTTTTTTCTCCTTTTTATCTCCAGGTAATCTCAGGACTGAAGCTTACAAGATTATTTGCTTCCAACCAGATTCTACCAAGTGAATGTCTTAATTGCCTAGTAGAACTCCTCGAGGACGCTAATATAGATCCTTCTCTGACATTGTCTTTGGTGACTTTATTATCACAGCTAGGTAAGGTTTGCATTTTAACATTAAATCTTGGGTCTTAGAAAGAGAAGACAAGGCAGGTGTTGATTCTGTGGCATGTGTGATGAACTTCTTAGAAAAACCAAAGGTATGAAAAATAAGGAGCTTTTGAAGTGCTTGCCTGATCCACTAGACAATACATTCAAGATCAGATAAAGGTGTTAAACCACTGTTCAAAACAGATGTGAAATCATTATTGTGAAATGACAATGTTTCATATTTGTCAGAATTGTCCTAGGCCCACATGCTTCAAGTTTCCGAGTTAGAAAACAGATCCTAGAGCATTTCATTTGTTTGTTGGGGTTGATTTTCTTTCATAGAAGTGTGACTTCTTCATTTAACGACGGAGCTCTGTGCTCACCATAACGGCATATGTAGGTTATATGTATGGGGAAAAAATTCTCTTATCCCTCAACTTAGGCTTTCTTGTTAGATGTGGGTAGTTCTTTGAGATTTGACTTGTTTAGGATGACCCATTGTTTATATTCTCTTTTTTAATTATTACTGTAAAATGATACATTGTTGGGCTTCATAAATGTATTTCCCAACCTCTTGGATTCTGGAAAACTTTAAGAATCAGTTCTCCTCCAATTGATCTGTTGTTTTATCTGAATTCCTTGTTGGCTATGTCTTTTCTGAGTTTAAGCAGAACAGATTTTTTTTGTATTACTATTGCTATATAACCTTATCAAGTTATTAATTTTAGTTTACTTGCCTGTCTTGGCATGAAGGAGGAAACTAATGTCGTTGATTTTGAGCTTTAAAGCTTCTCAAGTGCAGGATTTCAGATAAAGATTTCAAGATTTCAAGATTTCAGATAAAGCTTAAACTTTGTTGGGACTCTTTCTTCACTGTCCAAACATTTCAACTGACTGTAAGTTCAGAAGTGAGGTGGAGATTCAAGTGTATAGGAGCTGTGATTTGTAATTATTTGTGAAATATATATGGAAAACTGATGAAAGACTTTAGGTTATGCTTAGATCAGTTGCTAAAATGATAACTGCTTTTGCTGTTACATATGATTGTGGGTTGGTGGGTTTTTTTTGTTTGTTTGTTTGTTCTTAAATATTTCTTAAATTCTAGCTTCAGACAATGAGACAAGAGAAGCTCTTCGGGATACCTATAGTCTGACCAGTGTGCTGGCAGGAGTGGTTCATCGAAGTTCTACTAATCTTAGTGATCCAGTCTTATTACAGGTAACAGGAATTAATGCTTAATGCTTACTGAGTAAAAGTTGACAAGCTGGATGTTTTGTTTGCTGTGTGAGTCTAGTGTGACAGGATTTTAGCACTGCAGATTCTATGTATTCTGTCTGCAATATTGCTTGTGCTTCTTACCTGTTCTAATACATTTGAAGAAAAAAAGAGAAAACATTTTTAAATTGGAAGCTTCTACTGTGTGACACTACTGATTGAGAGCTTGGAAGCTTATTTTTCATTCTGTTTTTCATTTTATTTTTAATTCACTCTAAGGCTCCTAACAAAAATTTGAATATTGTTTTGTCTAATCAGTAGGTTGGCAATTGCGAAGGAGCAAAGGGCTGTGGCTGCTGGCTCTCTGGAGGTTTGCAGAGTGTATGTGCCTCCTTCTCTTTAGTCAGTGGTATCTGCTATCAAATAAAAGGGACTGTGCTAATGGAAGCCTGCTTTTAGGAGCCTAGTGCAGGCATCATTATATTATTGCTTCATTTATTTATTTTCAGTGAATATGTTACATCTCCCAGGCCAGTTTCACCAACTTGCACCTATAATTTCTGTGTGCTAAACAATAAAGTTGGGCTCCCCCCCCTTCCCCCCCCTTAAATACATACAGGTTTTCTCATACGTAGGTTTCAGCTTTCAGCATGTCTTTGCTGGCCATCTGTGGTCACATCTCTTTTCTGCATATGGAAAGAAAAAAAAAAAAGAAAAAAAAAAAGTAGTTTGCTATCAGCTACATTGCCCTTACTCAGTGGGAAGATTAGTCAAGCATCCAGTGCAGTGCAACTTTTCTAATGTTTTGCATACTTCTCAAAGTACTAGGAGTTCCAGAAGCTTTAAGAATCCCACTTGACTTGTCAGTCAAGGGAAAAGATTTTGTAGCCACCAAATAACCCATTTATAAGACCTTTAAGCTCTTATGTCAGCTATTCTACACAGTAAGATTTTATTTCAGCTGCTATCCTTAGCTATGCTGTGGTTTTTGTCATGTCTGAGTATACTCATGTCACATTTAAATAAGTTATATGCCCAATAATCCTGGATGAAAGACAGTACTATCATTAGATCTGTTGGCAGTCCTTACAACACACCTGTTTTACTATAAACATAATTCCTGCTAGAGGCTGCAAAGTGCTTTTGGATTTTTTGTGAAACTTCTAGGTCTTTCACTGACAGAATGGAGAATTGACTGATGAGGAAAAAGGGGAGAATTGGATGGGCTGAAGTTGCCTCTCTGCCAAAATAAAGCCTCACTAATATGTTTGGTCTTTTATTAAGTACGTGGAGATCAGTGTGGTAGGATATTACTCAGTGTGCTTGCAGCAGCATGCGTAATTGTGATGTTAACATTACAATTGAAAAATGAATCAGTTTGTCGTGCTTTATGTCTCTATTTAGTTTCAGCTGTAAGAAAATACCTTATGTACTTAACATTTTTCAGTGAGATTCTGATGGAAAGGCATGTGAATAGCTCTTTATTTCCTCAGAGTATTCAGTTGCTGCAGAGGCTAACCTACAACGTTCCCGTCTTTTGTGCTGGTGCCAACGTCAATGAACTGATTTCATTTCTAATGCATCATGTGTAAGTTTGTGTTCACTTATCTTTGCTCATGGGAAATATCTAGCTAGGTTTCTAACCTTTCTGAAGCCCATGAGCCTATTGCACTAACATGGTCTGCAGAGGGTGCTGTGATATTTTTGCTCTGAAGTTGCCAGAGATGTTTCTGGAACACATTTTAAAGGTTGTTAATGTTATGGCTGTGCAACTTTAGGTGGCTGAATATTAATTGGCTTCTTAGCCCATCCCCAGGGAGGGTGAGCTAACGAAGACAAAAGCTAGAAAAAAAAAAATCATTCTTGTCACTGTAAACATACTTGTTCTAGAATAATACAAATTTTGTGCAAGTCCAATGACTGTTAGACACCGGCAATAAAGGACCTCTGATAGCATTTATTTTGATACTTGTTCTTCCTCTTAAGCTCAGTTAAAATCTGCCTGAAGCCTGGGGTCTGCAAATGTTAGTTGCACTTTTCTTGGAAGAATGGTAACTTACATACACAAAAAAAGCAATTTTACTGTAACTAATCTCTGGATGCTTTAATGAAAACATCTTTGTTTAAACCTCTGGATTTTTCTTTTAAGTCAGTCCACAGAAGATGAACTAACAATACCATGCTTAGGACTTCTGGCAAATCTCTGTCGTCACAACTTATGTATTCAAACTCAGATAAAATCTTTGGTAAGTCTTTTGTTTTAGTGGAGTGATCCTCTGACTTAGGGGTGAGAGTGAGTTACTTCACTGAGCTCTTTTTTGCAGCAGTAATAATCCTGACCTTGTTGTTCACTGTTTTGTCAAACAACGGTGGATATTTCTCTCACATTAGAGAATACAATCAGTAGAACTGAAAACTGTGTGTTCTCTTTTGTTTTTTGTTGCTGTGTTGTTGCACGGGCTTGCATTATGCATTCAGTTATTGCAGCTGTTCTCTACAAGCAAAAGGTGAACCTGATGTTTGAGTATCTCTTCCTTAGAAGAACTAGATGTTGTTATAGTATATATATTTATTCTAAGCTGTAAGAAGTTTGGCCTGGAAAGAGACTTGCTCTTTCAAAAGATAAATCAATAAAATACCACTGATCTTTTAGTGGTCAGGACCTTTGAATCTTCAAATACACATCCATATCTGATCTATGCAGTGTGTGCATTCATCAGTCAATGCAAACAGCTTATTTCCTTGGTGAAGGAATACAAACTCATCTACATGGCACTGAACGTTGTACTACTTACCTTGGAACAAATGCAGGACAAAAAAAGAAATAACTATGTCCACGTCTGTTCAAAGAGCAGATAGGAGATAGGGTTAATTTTCAGTGGTTGTTTTATCTTAGAGATGTTAGTGACGTGACTTTCTCATCAGCCTGTAAAATAATGATGTAATTCCTTCCTATTTTTTTCATTCTATCCTACACAAATTCAACAAATTCAACAGGGAATTTAGTCATTGATGTCATCCTCTGTAACTGTGCAGTAGAAGAATACTAAAATAAATTTCCTAGAGAACATTTGTCATGGCATATTTCTGTGTTATTCATTATTTGTATCTCTTGTTTATAAATACTTGCAATATGTAAGTTTGGTGCTCTTACAGAACAAAATACAGTTTTTAATACCTGTGCTTCTGTGTGTTTTAGAATAACGTGAAGAGTTTCTATCGTACCTTAATAAGTTTCCTGGCGCACAGCAGTTTGACTGTGGTTGTATTTGCACTTTCAATATTATCAAGCCTGACTTTAAATGAAGAAGTAGGAGAAAAAGTAAGTGATATTTTGAAATCAGTTTTATTTTCAAGTTGTTGATAAATCTGTTGGCCAAACTCAGAAAATAATTCTAGCTAATTTTTATATGCAAGAGACCTGAGCAAGCAAAGCATGTTCACATGCATAATTTTATTTTTCCTTTCAGCTCTTTCATGCACGGAATATCCATCAGACTTTTCAGTTAATATTCAATATTGTTGTAAATGGAGATGGTACTCTAACAAGAAAATACTCTGTTGATCTACTTATGGATCTTCTGAAAAACCCCAAAGTTGCAGATTATCTTAGCAGGTATGGCTTCATTAAAAATTCATGGTTGCTTCTTGAGTGTTACTAGGTGAGTATCTGCTCTATCCGAAGCTAAAGGGTTCTTGTGTTACCTGTTTTACACAGAAGCATGAATCAAAACCCGCGCTTTAATTGCTGCTTAAGAAATGTTTAATGATTGTGTTCAATAATTCTTTGGTCAGTACTGGTGGTCAGACAATCTGATGAATAGCTATCATGTTTTTTTTTTATAGTCCTTCAATATTTTGAAGTGTAGTAGTGCTGGCAAAGTGATAAGAATTTTCCTGCAGGGCATCACAGAGTTGTTATGTGAAATGCTTGTCTACTGGTTCTGCACATTCCACTAGCCAAACTTAGTTGCTGAACTTCAATCCAAATCTCTAGCAGTAAAAATACTTGTTCTAATTCTGAGAATATTTTTAAAATTTAGCTTATATTGCATTGAAACTACACCATCAAAAGTATTACTGTGCTTGAAGTGTTTGGGGGTAAAAAGAAAATTGGACTCAGGTATTCATTACTTGAACATTATTAGATATTGATACCAAATTATTGATACTAAATTATTTTTTTCCATCTTTCCTTCCATCTGTGCTGTAGATATGAGCACTTCACCTCATGCCTTGGTCAAGTATTAGATCTCCTTCATGGAAAGGATCCAGATTCATTATCTAAGGTACTTCATCAGAAGACCAAGAGGGTACAAGTCATAATATAGTTCCACATCTGTAGCCATAAATAGATTCCTTGTGTGTGAGAACTGATAATGAAGTAAATTGACATAAGGACTCTTTATTGACCCTACAATGTTTATCAGCTTAAATCTAATTCTTCAAAAGACTTTATGGTTGAATTTGTTTATTTGTGGGTTATTGGTTGTTTTTTTTATTTGATTTTTTTTTTTTTGCTTGGTATTTATTTCCTAGTAGTTCTGAAAGCTTAGAAACACATTATTCCACAGTATTTGGACAATTTGATGTCACGTTGGGTTAAGCATTTCTCTATTGCATTCAACTTTGTCTCACTACCACTTTACATAATTAAAACATTGGCTACGTGGTGCTAAATGCTAAAATATTATTTGTCCTGAAAATGTTTCAAAGATATATGTTGACCAATCTTAAACTTTTCTAATCAAAGCATTTTTGCATCATAGTAAATGATGAAAGCTAATGTTTCTATGTATGGGGTTTTTTTTGTTGATTATTGGTTATAATTGAGAAATGTGTTGACATGGAGCTTTCCAGGGGTCTTCATCTCACGGCTATCTGTATCTCAGAATAGCATTTCTGCAACTGAGGAGTAATTAGAGAGCAGTTGGTCCTTTTTTAAAATTATTTTTAATGACTAGTCTAATGGACTGTGCTGCTGACTTGACTTCACAGAAAAAATATCCTTCATAGAATTCTAAAATGTCAAGAGCAATTGTTTATAACTTAGATATTTCTTAGATTTGTGCCACGGGAGTTGCAATTTTTATATGAGTAGCTGGTTTAGAAGTATTTGAACTCTTTCATTCACTTCATACAGATCTTAGAACTGCTGCTTGCCTTCTGTTCTGTGGTAGAACTGCGTCATACCCTGCGGCAGGCAATACTGGAACCATCTGGCTTGCCAGTCTCTGGAAATACCAGATTTGTGACTCGCTCAAAGACTTTTGAACCATCTGTTGCACTGGTGCATTTGTCAAACCAACCATTGGAAGGCTCTGAAGACTGTTCAGTTCTAGCACTGCAGCTATTCAAAGAGGTCTTTGAGGTATGAATGCTAATGATTGAGCTTAAAGTGCTACTTAGCTGTTACAGTTTTGCTTTGATCAATTTTTAAGTATTTATTAGTGTTTTACTTGAAAAATGGGACGTAAAAATATACCAGAAATGTTTTTAAAATTATCTGTTTTTAAGCACATTAGAAATATATTTTGAGGACTGTATTAGAAAGATATCTTTTCTGAAAATTATGTTGGCTGTTCATGAAGTAGAAACAAAACTATTCAGTACTTGTTTTCAAGGACTTGTAGAAGTGAGTTTCTGCTTTTCCAGCATTATTTGTTAAACTTGATTCTCCAGTATGATACTGATCATAAGTCTTAAACCTGAAATAGAAATAGTCTGGGAAGACTTGAATACAAGCTTGAATACAAGGAGTAGAATCGACTTGTCTTCCTTATTCTGTAGTTCTAAATATTGACATAAAATTTGTTTATTACAGGATGTTGTTAGTAGTGGGAACAGTGCCTCAGCTGAACACTTTGTGGATCTTTTGCTGCCTGTTCTTCTTGATCATCTTCAGATGCCAGAACAGATTGTGGATGAGCTGTTAGTGAAGAAAAAGTGTGAAAGAATGGTCAAGGCTATTAACGTTCTCACAGATATCCTTTTTTATGTGCCTATTGTCTGCTAATTTATTACTTCTCCACTATCATCTGCTCTAAGGCATTAGAAGAAATATCCATCTTGGGTCACTCTAACAGCTGTTAATGGCAATAACTGTACTAATCTTACTTAGGACTGTCATCTTGAAGGACCCTTAGTAGCTTTATAATTGCTGTGAAATTATTGTGCAGTACAGGGATTCCAAATAAAACATGGTGATTGTTCAACAGTATAGAAGCACTTTACAGATTAAAAAATGAGCGTTTTCTATTGAAATTACAAGAGGCATTTGGGTGGGCTTCTTCTTAATCGGTGTAATATTTTGGTCTAGCTAAGTCCATTGCAGTGTCCAGCCAAAACTGGTGACAGTTTTCATCAGTGAAGCAAGAGGAAGAATGATGTGAAATTGTTTTGTTTTATACTCCCTGTTTTTAATGGGACTTCTTTCATTAGAATTTAAGAGCAGTTTTTCAATCTAACCTCCTGTCTGTGACAGGATTTGGACCAGATTTGGGGTGAGTTTGGTGAGAAAGCAAATATATCAAGTCATCTTCAAGAATCCAGCTATGAATTTCTTGAGAAACATGCTGCCTTCTGCTTCTGTGTTGCTTTTCTGAATTTGGTGTAATGAAATAAGGAGAACACAACTGCAGGATGTAGTCTGGCATCTCAGCTGAATTCTGTGAAGAAGTGTCTTGACTGGCTCTCCATTAGAGCTAGTCCTTTTTTTAGGTACTGGTTGTTCAATCCCTCTTGTTCATCTTCTTTATGCAACTCATATTATTGTAGTTTCCTTGGCTGTCTGTTTCCAAGTGCATACTTTTTTTTAGTTGAACAGTTGAACAGAACAGTTGAACACTTGACATGTGTGTTAAGCATGACCTAAGAGGTTTATGTAATTGGGCTTCAAAAGCATTTTTGGAGTGTATCGTGCTTTGATATGCTAGCTTCTCTTTTATTATTAAAACAGTGCCTTATGATGCCAATACCTAAGCATAGATAAAGTTTTATTCTTAACTCAGCCTACTGCTGTGTGGAGACGACGTACTGAAAATGCATGCCTCAAAGCTCCTGACTGCCAGCCAATGTGTGTCTCTAATAGAACACCAGTTTACCTATAGTGGGATTGATGCTGGTTTTGGGACAAAGGTAGTGGACTCTAAAATGTGGTGAGCACAAAAATTTATCTAAAATTTAATTTACATAGACTTTTTTGAGAGTTGTGATATTGTTCCAGTAGAAAGTATACCATAGTTGAAATTACTATTTAAATGCAAATAAGTCTACACTGTTTTAAAATCAAATTTAGTATTTTTATACCAATAGGATGTAACATGCTAGTCAGTTCAATGAATAAACCTAGCCTAAACATTCTGGTATTGTTTTGTGTGTAGGTTGGAGTTCCATTTATGTGGTACAGTGATTTTTAAACCTCATCCACAAGTTTATCTGAGTTGTTGCTTTTCAGAAACAGTATCATCCACCAGTACTGGGGAAAGAAGGAAGCTATGGTTGCAGTGGGGGAAAAAAAAACCAAAACAACAGAAAACACCTCCCTTCAGTTCAGAGTCATTGACTTGAATGTCAATAAAACTAATAGTTATATGCCCAATAAAATAAAATTGACCTGTGATTAAAACCTCTTTACTTTCAAGGTGAAAGTGCTTTAAGCTTCACTGCTATCCACAGTATGCTGGAAAAGCTCAACAGAGCATCTAAGGAGCTGAATGATCTCTCATGGTATTGGCACTCATGCCTTGCTAGAGATGGTTTATTTATGAAGGTACATGTTTGCCTTGTCTTAATTTATTTATCAGTGCTGATCTGACAAATTTGTTTGCCTTTTTTCCACTTCGCTTTTGTGTATTTAAAAGCAAACTTGCTGCTGATATTATTTTGAAAACACTTGATCTTATGAGCAGACTGAAGCAGGATGTGCCTGGTATGGAAGTCAGCTTCTACAAAATCCTACAGGTATGAGTTTAAAGCGTCTTATAAAGTAAAATGTCTTATAAAGGGTATCTGTGAAGGAAAGTATTTTGGAGCTCTAGTAATTCAGCTCTGAATCTTTTTTCATGCTTATCTCTGTCACGCTAAAAATTTTAGGGAAAAGCTACAGTTCTTAAAGATTAAGAACTTAATCTTGTTAATTCTTCTAAAACAAGACTAATTTGCTATTACATCTCTTATTTCAGTAAAGCACGTGAAATATTTCAGTTGCCTGTTAAGAATTATCCTTCTAAAGCCACATTAGGATTGTGGTTTGAGGGTAGTGAGGGATAAGAAAAAGTTAACACAGCTATGTAGTTGAATAGCTTCTGAGATTATTTAGCATGAAACATACGCACCTACTCTGTGACTTTGCACAGGTAAGTATTTGGTTTCTGTTGGTCAAGATGCTTGCTCTGTAGATAGAAAATAATCTGGATAATCAAGCATTTCATATTGTTTGGAAGAGTTTTCTTTGAAGAATGGGAATTGTTTACAGTGAGAGTTTCAAAGTTATCGGAAAATCCTCATAAAACTTAAGCTTGTGACTCTTTATGATGAAAATCAAGCAGATGAAAATTTGAAGGAATTATGTAGTCTCTGCACGGGTCATGTTGACTAAAGAAAACAAATTTCTAAACACTTCAAAATGTGAAGTGTGTTTTTCTTTTTTAAATCGTTTCATTAATCTTAGCGTTCTGAAATGTAGAAGAGCGGTATTTAGAAGGGTAGATTTGTGTCTGTTCTCACAGGCCTTGGTATTGTGATGTCTGGGGTGGTTTTTTTTTGTTGTTGTTTTTGACTGTTATGTATTGTGCTGACCAAAATAGTTTCTTGTTTAGGATCAGCGCTTGATTACACCTTTGACGTTTGCTTTAACGTCAGACTACAGAGAACAAGTCCAAGTTGGACTTAGAATATTGTTTGAGGCTGCACCCTTACCAGATTTTCCTGCTATAGTGTAAGTTTATTTTTGTGATAATCCGATAAGATTTGATGTTTTTATAACCTTAGTGATGCTCACGTTTCTTGAGTTATTACTTCCAGTTTATATGAGACAGAAACTTTAAGAAAAATTGTCATTTCCTCCTAATCTAAAGGTAAGAGGCAGTAGTGGTTTTAGAGGCTGGAGGAGGTGGTACTGACTGGTACACAACTAACAGCGGATCCTTGACAGTATAATAGTGACTTCTGTACCTCAGGATTAACTTTTCTCAAGTTTGTGTGATAATTCAAATGTAATTATTTCTCTAGTCTGTCTTTTCAATGAAAGATAAGTTAATTATGCTGTGAAATATTTCTCGTCTTCAATCCTTGCAGCAGTATTTGAAGCAGATTGTTTTTAATATCAGTCATGTTTTCACAGGCTTGGTGAAAGCATTGCTGCAAATAATGCTTACAGACAACAGGAAAAAGAACACGCATCAAAAAGAATCCAACTGCAGTCACCCGTGATCAGCAACGTTACAGTGAGAAGTTCTTCATCTTGTGCTAATGGTGATGAATCCACAACTTCAAGTGTTCAGGAACTAATACAAAAACTTCATTCTGGACTAGAAGTTAGTATAATTTTGTTATCTTTGCTACATATTTGACTGTTTTTAATCAGAGTATTAGGCTACAGTGTGTATATCAGTTGAGCTCAGTTTATGTTCCTACCTTTTTAAGAGTTCTACTGAGCTCCTGAGCAGAGGTCAGTGATGTTTCTTTGTGAAGTATTGTAAGTTGGGCTCCCTGTTAGAATTCCCTTCTCTGATTGGGTTTCCCACCCCTTTCCTAAATGCTGGGTGTGGAGGTAGGTGGCAGATATAGTTGCAAGTAGCTGGAGTTGGTGGGGTGTGTACAGGGAGTTCCCCCTTCCTAAGTGCATGGCTTTGTATGCATTAATGGAAGTCAGCACAAAGTACCTAATGGCATTGCATGCAGCAGCTCCCAGTCTTGTGACAGCTCATGCAGCTCTTTAAATTTTTGAAGTAGAGAAAACATTAGTGTTCAATGAATCTTTTCTTAGACCTTCTAAGTAGTAGAACTTTCCTTTAACAGTGCATTAATTAAAAATTAGTTTACATGATCACTTGAAATACCTGATGCTTCATCAGTGTTCCACGAGGCTCAAATATGTATAAAAACATATGAATCACTTTCAATAGTATTACTGCGGAGAGAAAATGAAGGGAACTTACAGAAGCTTTTCTTGTAGTCAGTTCTATGTGCTTTTATGTGTTACTGCATCTTTGCAAGCAGGAAAAGAAGCTGGAGCTATGTGGGAGCTACTGTTAATATGCCCAAAAGTATATATCTTGCACAATGGTTTAAAACAGTGCAGAGAGGGTACATTTTTAATAGGTGTCCATTTTATGAACAGAGAAATAGCTTACACTTAGTCCCAGGAGAGAGCACATGAATGCCTGCTCAAAATTGGCATTATTATAGTACTGCCTAAGGGAAAAAAAAAAATCCTAAAGTTACCCAGTTGCATACTTACTTGACTTGGGCATATTCTAATGAACTAATTGCCTTCTTGAACAATACATGTGAAGTACTTCTCTAATAATTTGATGGATTAAACTAACAATTTCTGTTCCAGTTAGTATTCTTTCAGAGCTTCAACCTTTTCTGATGGTCTAAATGCTGAGAAGGCTGTGTATTGTGAACGGTATTTTCATCTTTGCATTTTTGGTTGTTGATATTGAGGCAAATGTTCTATGAGGGGATTGCTAATTCTGCAGCAAAGAATAGACCAGTAGCAAAGAATAGGAACAAAGTTACAGTCATTATATTATCTTTTTATAGTATATGATTGATTTGACTTGATAGGCCTCTGCCTCTGAAGATGAGTAATCTTCACCCTAGTAAATTTATTTTACAGGCTTTCTGCAAGAGTCAAATGAGTATAATTAAGTAGTCAGTCTCAGAGATTAATATAAAATTAAAAAAAAAACTCTAGTGGAC